TCTCCCAATAGCTTGCTTTGTGGATTTAGTCCTAAAAGAAAAGAGTAGAAATCCTGAGTTTTCCTTTATTTTGCGTTGCCTCTCCTTGAACAATGTATCTAAGACCCCGCAAGCTGACCGCCCATGTTCTGCGGCTGCATGGCAGGAGCACAGGCACTGTTTCCATAGTATTTTCTGCCTTCTAGGCCTGTGCTCAGGGTTTTACATAGCTTCTTATTTCGTCCCCAGCACAAACCAATGCAGGTAGGTAGATCCTGTTACTTATACATGACAGACACAGAAACTGAAGCACAAAGACCTTAGGTAACTTGCCCAAGGTCACACCACTAGTACATGTCACAGTAGGGATTTGAGACCAGATATTTCTTTTTCTACATCAAAATCTATTTTCTGAACTATTAGATGCCCCCAGCCCTCCCTGCCCCAATAACCAAGCGTCTTCTAATTCCAGATCATTTAACCTCTTGTCATACTATTCATACGCTTCCATTTGTTGTTATGTACTATCAACTCAGTTACGGCTCTCATGGCCCTCTAGGACAGGGGAGAGCTCCCTGATCATTGCCTGGACTGGACATCTGGACCAGAGCAGACTGCCGCGTCTTGCTCCCTTGGAGCGGCTGGTGGGCTGGAATCACCATTCCTTTGGGCAGCAGCCAAATGCTTTCCCCACTGCTCCACTCCAGCTCCTTCAGTATGTTAAGAATTAATGCCACGTAGCAGCTGTGCATCCAAACTTTAGAGCCAGAGCCAGACAAATCTGGATTGGGTTCTAGAGATGTGGCCTCCCTGAATACCAGTCCCCTCACATAGAAGGGATTGAATTTGCTGTGAGGTTGGGTTTGGTAACATGGCTTTACTTAAAGCTAGGCTCCTGGCATTTGCTAAGTACAATTACATGATAGATTTACTCATTGTTGTTGTGGTATTTAACCTGCTTGTAGTTACATATAGTTCTAATTAGATTGATGTTTAAATAATTTTCCGTGTTTATCATTGAACTTTTTTTTTTCTTTTTTAACATTT